TTCCTGTTTCAGATATCTGTGCCAGAGACTAAAAAAATACATTGGTAAACGGGAACAACCTGAAGCTTCAAAAAGTAGCCTTCCATAGTGAAAAGACTTCTATAGCATATTGGTGGTGGGGGAGGAAGGGTGTTCATGTTTAAAAATGAACTTGGACCCCTTCAATACCAGTAGTTATTGCCCCTGCTGGTTCAACTCCTCCAGAACCCTAAAACTAAGCAGAATAATCTAGTTGTGCTGACTGTCATTCAAGTCTAGAAAAACAGTCATAATGAATAAAGTGCACTGCTTAGCGGAGGCACTGAATATTTTTAAGGTATATTGATGCAAATGGTAGACATTTTAAAAATGAGGTTAGTTTTAAACATTAAAATCAATGGGCATTAACAGCCTTCAACTTTGCCAAAAGAGACTCAATATTTTTAATTGGATTCTGCACATCCTACTGGTTCTTAGTGCTGTTTACAATATTAAAATGCAACTTTACCTTTTTAGTGTGTTCGGTCCCAGCTCCTGCCCACCCAGCAGTTCAAAAGCACCCCTAAGTGCAAGTAGATAAATAGGTACCGCTTTATAGCGGGAAGGTAAACGGCATTTCTGTGTGCGGCACTAGTGCTGGCTCGCCAGTTGCAGCTTTGTCACGCTGGCCACGTGACCCGGAAGTGTCTTCGGACAGCGCTGGCTCCCGGCCTCTTGAGCAGGATGAGCGTGCAACCCTAGAGTCGGTCATGACTGGCCCGTATGGGCAGGGGTACCTTTACCTTTACCTTTAAGAGCAGTTGCCCAGTGGTGGGATGCATGATTTGTATGTAAAAGGTCCCAGGTTCAGTCACTGGCATTGCCAATTAAATGGTTAGGTAGCAGGTGATGTGAAAGTCTTCTGCAGGAGGCTCTGAAGAATTGCTGCTAGCAGAGTGGACAAGTCTGGGGTCAAAAGACCAATGATCAGACATAGGAAATAAGTGGTACCAGCAGCTGTAATATTACCAATAGTAATAAGAGTAAAGTCCAATAACCAGAATTCTGGATGAAGAAGGCGGTGAAGTAGACGAGAGATCAGTTAATAATCAGCTCATAAGAACTCGCCAGTATGCTATTAATTATTGGAGGCAAGAAATAAGACACAAGTCTGGGAAGAGAAATCTTGAGAGCTTCAGAATGTGGAAAGATGTGCCATGTTTGCTAAGAGGGAACTTGAAACGAGGTTTCCTAAGATTGCTCAACAGACAGCATGTATAAGGAAGTGAGGGTAGCAGCAGAGTATATGTAAATGAAAATATGCAAGAAATAGACGTATGTAGATGACTGTGCAAAGTAATAACATAATTGCCTGGAGCAGATCATTAGAGTTATAAATGGTGATTAAATGAGGGCAAGTAACTAGTGTGGTGTGATCAACTGAAATTCTTCAGACTAAGAACCAGACCCTGCCTTATATAAGCACTATGTATATATCTGTCTAACTTCAAGACGTCACAAGTAAGCCTCTTTCCCATCAGATCGAGCCTTTTTGTGCTTTGTGTTTCCAAGAATTCTGCCTTTGTCTGAATTTTGGAATTGACATCAAAATCTTGACTTTGAAATGCTGAAGGGCTCTTAAAATGTAACTCAACTTTTGGATAAGTTTCAAAACAATAAGATGAAGACTTAAATGTTGCCATTTTGACTCCAATGTTCATAATTTGAATAGCTGGGAACCATTTCAAATAAAAGAATGGAATGCTGATTTTTTTTTTGAAATGAATCAGAACTATGTTTTGTGGCAGCAGATTCCATAGCCTAAATGTGTGCTGTTGGAAGAAGTGCTTCCCTTTGACTCTCATTGGATTGTCCTGGGGTTCTGAAACAGGATACTGTCATAGAAAAGCTAGAGAAATTTCTGTATGAAGAAAAATTGGGAGGTCAAAGGGTATTTCAGTTAAAGACAATGTGAACTATTCCATTCAATTGTTTAGGTGTTTGCAAGGAATCAACTCAAGTTCTAAAGCTAGGCATTCAGGCCCTGCCAACCCAGCACCAACATAATACCCATAGAGTGAGGGATCTACTTTGTGTTTCTTTCTACCAACCAGAGAGTCAGATTCATAAGACATACAGTTAGAATCAGAGTGCAGGGTGCCTCTGAGCAGATTCTGAGCCTATCAATGTGAATCGAGTTCACATTCCTTCCACCCCCCAAAAATCCACTCTGGATTAGCTTTCTTCATTGCAGCAGCAAAATTTAGGTGGAAAGTGTTTTATTGTTGCTGTTGTAAAAGAATTGGGAGTAAAAAACCATTGTCAAATTACTATAAACCACCAAGAGACCGCCCAGTAGATCTTGGCCTACCTTCTTCTTATCCCTGCTCTAGAAACTAGGACTGGCTAAATTCCACTTCGGCTAAATTCTGGATCCTGAACTGAATTAGACTGATTCAGGGCTTGTCTTACACTTCTGTATGTCCTGTGTCTAGAAAGCCTGTGTCTGAGCAGTTGTCCTTTGCCCCACTCCTTTCCCAGGGAAAACCCGGTCTTCAGTGCTAAATCAGAGCAAAAGTCAATCCAGAGAATCTGAATTGCCATTTGCTCTGATTGAGCGCTAGTGAGTGGTTTTCCCTGGGCGAAAGCAGCTGGGCAAGAGGAAGTGTGGAGGAGCCTTCAGTTCAACCCATGATTTTGCTGTAAATAGTCACTGATATGGCTTGGGTCATCTCAGTTCTGGATTGTCTCAAGTTGGATAAGGGCCACTCCAAAGTTCCTGAATTGTATCAGGAAGGGGCACCCCCCCACTAGAAACCCTGTCCCAAGCCAGCAAACCTAGTTGCCTATTTTTCTAGAAAAATAGGTGATGAAACTCACCATGAACACCTCCCTCGTTCTCTTAAAGTGGCAATGGCGCCCACCTGAGAGGTGTTGGAACTAAGTCCTGGAGAATTCCTGATGGAAAAATAGCTCTGCCTAGATCCAATATCTGAGTTTCACCATTATGAATGCCAATGAAATCTAGGGATTTCTTGCATAACTCCAACTCTCTTTCAACTTTATCCTGAAGAAGATATTGCAGCACTTTTTGCCCATGGACATGACTGAACTTAAAGAGGGAACCCAAACAGATTGTTCTTAGAGTATGCTTTTCTCTCGCCCACCCACCACCTCTTAAAGTAATGTGTTTGTAATTACACGACTGCAAATACATGTAAATGAAGCCATGCAGCATAATTTCTTTTTAATGAACTCTCATCCAGAAACACTGGTCAGACTGTCTGTCATCTTTGTATTGCACAAACTGTTTATTTGGAAGATGTGTGTGGGCAGGTTGATGTCAGAAGGTATGAAGGCCACAGACAGTCTGGAACCAGGCTGTCTGGATAAGAACATAAGAATAATCCTGCTGGATCTGGCCAGTAGCCCATCTAGTCCACATCCTGTAGGCTATTAGGTCTGTAAACTACCATATAGCATATATTCAACACAAAAAACAGTGACAATTTGTTGTTGACAAAAGACAGCTGGACATATAAAGGGCTCCATTACCTTCAGTAGCTTAGGGCCTCATCAAATCTAAATCTGGCCCTGGAAAGGACTCTTGCCCAGATTGAGAAATGGTTCCTCACCCAAGGTCACACCATATGCTTCATGGCTGAGGGCAACCTGAGTCTCCCAGGTCCTAGTCTGACATGTTAACCCCCCACACCACATGGGCTCTCAACTCTGGCAGTCTTTATACTTCTCTGTTGGTACCACATTGATCCACTAGCCTCTCTTACCATCCTAGGTCAGGATGATTATGAGGCCAGCTGTAAAGGCCTCTAGTCCCCTCCTCTGATTAGCAGCTTCAGTGGAACCCATGTCACATTCACAGGGCTCCCAGTCAGTGCTTGCTTGCTGCAGGTTCTTTTGGTGGTGGGGAAGCTTGGCCAAGACACCTCAATACTCCCTTCTCTCTGTGAGTCTATCTCCTCACTCTCATTGTTGCCAGCTGCTGTTCCTCATCACTGTTACCACCTGCTTGGCCTTTTCAGATGAGGAAGCAGGCAGTAGCTGCTACGTTTCCTCCTCAGCATCAATACTGTTATTTGTTTGTCAGAGTGAGAGGCATGGTTGCCATGGTGAAGAGTAGGTCCCGGTCCAGGCGGTCCCCTTGTCAGTGGGCCGCCTGTGGGGTGTCCCCACCCTTAGTGGGTGCCTTACTATGCCAGCCATTGACAATTCTCTTAGCCCATCCTCATCTCAAGCCTTGAAGCCATTGACAGGCAAACTCGCTCTCTGTTCATGCAGAGACAACATGGAGGCATTCATAAGGGACATAATAAGATAAACTATTTCACTTTGACTTGTCTGCTGAGACATTCCTGGGTGTTACATACAAAGGATTTTGGCTAATATTCTAGAGAGCACATTTTTTTCAAGCAAGGTATGTGTCCTAGGCTCACCCTTGTCATGTTTCTGCATGGATCAAGAAGGGCTATTCGTCTTTTTTTGGGAGGGAACTCCAGTCAGAGCCAACTGGGACACTCTAACAGCCCAGAACACTCTTGGTCAGGTGGCACCACAGGACCCATCCAATACCCCAAACGTTTCTAATATACTTCCTTCTCTCTGTCTGAGTCACATATCACTGAGACTGATCAACAGAGTGGACCGCTGTGCTTCCAGATTACTGATCTGGCCTTCTCATCTACGGCCTGCATTCTCTTGGGCCTGATCACTTAACAACATCCAGCACTTCCTTGTGGCTCTGCACTGCAGTGGTTGGCAAGATCACATCTGCCTTTAAGGGAAGTTTGTTCACCATTACTCATCATCTGCTCACTAATCAGAAGTTTCTAAGGTTTCCAAGGGAAGTGTCCAGCAGTGTTAGGGAAATGGGAATGGGATGAGAAAGGGAGAAGCAGAGGCTTTGGCGGGACCTGATGGGCAATGTTTGTGGCTTTGGGTGATCTTTGTCATGTGGGAATAAATCCAGAATTCTTACTAATTTTTTATTCATGTGAAGTTCACTGGCTTTTCTTCCATTGCAGAAACAACTGTTTCCAGTTTCCATGGTGTCTGTCAGAATTATAAAAGCCAATATCATCCCCTCAGGAATTTCATGTAAGTTTTGTGCATCCTTCATTGCACCACTGGGCTCAACTGTGCCAAGATTATTGGATAAAATAGCAATGTAGGAATAAGGAATCTTGGACTGGATTAAATAACAAAAGATCTGAAAGAGTTTTCATGGTGACTAAGAGAATTGGTATCCAATTCTTAAACATTACTGAACATGTCCCCAGTGTTTTAGGTGGAACAGAATTCACATCCATGCATATATCCAATCTTGTAAGAGCCTCTTTCCCATGGTATGATCCTGCACCCCTACAAACTTTCATAGGCACTGCCAGTGGGACGCTCTCCCTATGAAATAGGCTGTCACCCCCTAAATGCTGGATTCCTGTAACCACTGGAGGTAAGGGAATTTTTCACACACTCAGCTCACTTTTCTTAATTATCATAATCTTATTTATCCCCTTAAAAAAAATCTAGGTATGCTTACTTGAAAATTAACCATCAAAATAGATAGGACTTACTTTTTCAAGGGTATATTCAGGATGGTATCATAAATGGTATCATGAATGAGAAATATATAGTTCTGTTTCAGAAATGTAACATTTCCCGTTCCCTGAAATGCACTCTGCCATTCTATGCCTCTCTCTCAATATATTTTCTGCTGCTGATGGCACAGTGGTCTTTCTCCCCCTCATTGTTGCACTTGCTCGGAACTGGTGATGGTTCAGTCAAAAGGACCCAGTTTTTTGGTCTTGTTCATCACTTTGCACAGTGCAGCCTGTGCATTTTGCACAAGGCTGCAGGTGTGAGAAAGAGGCCTCCTAACACTAGACATTGCTTTCAGCTGCAACAATTTGAACAGCGATATTACCATATTTTTCGCTCTATAAGATGCACTTCCCCCTCTTAAAAAGTAAGGGGAAATGTGTATGCATCTTATGGAGTGAATGCAGGCGGGAGGCTGCCCTGCCGCTTGCTATCCTGGCTTCTGGCTTAGCAGCCTCTCCCAGGAAGCAGGAGCCTTCTTCCCGCTGCCCAGGAGAGGCTTCGCGCGGCTAAGCCAGAAGCCAGGACAGCAAGAGGCTATCCCAGAAGCCAGATCCATCTTGCTGTTCTGGCTTCTGGGATTCAGAATATTTTTTTTCTTGTTTTCCTCCTTCCCAAACTAGGTGCGTCTTATGGTTTGGTGCGTCTTATAGAGTGAAAAATGTGGTATGTAAGGCAAAGGTAAAGGACCCCTGGCGACTATGGGGTGCGGCACTCATCTCACTTTCAGGCTGAGGGAGCTGGTGTTTGTCCACAGACAGCTTTGCGGGTCATGTGGCCAGCATGACTAAACCACTTCTGGAGCAAGGGAACACTGTGATAGAAACCAGAGCGCACGGAAACACCGTTTACCTTCCTGTCGCAGCAATACCTATTTATCTACTTGCACTGGCGTGCTTTTGATCGGCTAGGTTGGCAGGAGCTGGGACAGAGCAATGGGAGCTCACCGTGTCATGCAGATTCGAACCACCAACCTTCTGATTGGCAAGACCAAGAGGCTCAGTGGTTTAGACCACAGTGCCACCCGCATTATGCACCAATATCGGTAAGAGTAGTACTAGGTGTTATAACTGCAAGAATATTGGTTTATGTTCTAAAACGTCACATTAGGTCATCTAGTTGGTGCCAGAGGTTTCACCACCACCACCACCAAATTTCTCTGTTCCTTATATCACAGATATATTCCAGCTCAGAACTCCACTGCAAAAATATATTCAGAAATAGATGCCCCTCCCACAGTTTGTCATATACAAAGTGATGTGGCATCCCCATATTTGGGGACACAGTTGAATATACGATCACAACTGTTAAAAAGCTTTTTCCATTCCTCGCTGCAGTGTTTCCATCTAATTGCTACGTGACCTTGCATCTACCGACAGCATCGCCTGAGAAATTTAGAACCCAAACTATGAAGAACTCTGACAAACCAGTCTGGAATGAGACATTCTATTTTAGAATCCAAACTGAGATCAAGGTAAGGTAAGATATTCAACATGCCACCACTTGTTTGGAAAACCTTCTGGGCAGATAAAGACATAAAACATTATTGCAATAAGATAAAATAAATGGCTTTTCCAAACAAGTCTGATTTAGGAACTGTAATGGTTCTAGGGGTTGCTTGTGTGTAAATCAACGCCACCCTTGGCTGGTTGCCTGAATGAACCCTTTCTGTCTGGACAGCCACTCGCCCGTGGCTGTCTCAATCGCTGGCAGAATCCGTTAGTGGGCGTTTCTTGAACTTCTTCCAGCAAAGAAGCTCTTTGACGCCTAGTCTCCGCCTACTTTCTCTGCGCGGAAGCCTTCTGCGCAGGGAGGGTGTGGGCATCGGAGGACCTGTGCTCTCCCCACTGGTTCCCGGCGAGGAGTCTTGGAGCCACCTCGCCGATTCCCCCATCTGCCCCCCTTCTCCACTGGTGTTATGCTGATTTCCTTCCCCAGAAGGTGCTGCTTCTCTCCCTCCAGGGACGCTCTCCGGAATCCCTCTGGAGCCCTCCCTCTCCCTCTGGCTCTGATGGCAGTTCCCTGACAGGAACGTTCAGGAAAAATGAAGTTGTTGCCTCTAATGCAGGGGTGCTTGTGTGACAAAAATGCCTGTGTGCAGGTAGTTTTGTGCTTAGCTTGTGCTTAGGGCCAAGCAAGGTAAATCACATTTCACATGCAGTGCTTAAAAGTACCATTAGCATCGGCTGAGGGCAGGCCTGATAATTACTGGGATCCGAGCAGGAATGGTGGTCAAGTGGTGCCCATGTGCTCTACTTTACTTTACTTTATTTTGAAGCGGTCTTTTCTTTTAAGGAAGAAAAAGTTAAAGGACACTAAGAAAAGGGAGCATCAGGGGCCTTGAAGTTGCAAACACCTGGGCAGCAGACTAAGTAGCCACACAGCTCACCTGCTCTCAAGTCTTCCCCACTAGGGTAGCATGTACTGTTTTTAAAATTTAAATTATAGTAATTATATATAAATTTGCAACTATACATATGAATCACCACATGCAAAAATTATGGAAGTCAGTGTCCTCTTTTGTCTTCTTTTTTGGTGGTATTATTATTATTTATTGAATTTATATACCACCCTATACCTGGAGGTCTCAGGGTGGTTCACAGAATAAAATCAAAATATAAAACCACAAAGTAAATAGTCAAAATAACAACAGCAACCCAATACCCCCTACAAATCAACCAAAGGCCTGGTTAAAAAGCAACGTTTTTGCCTGACGCCTAAAGGTGTATAATGAAGGTGCCAGGCGATTTTCCCTGGGGAGAGCATTCCACAGATGGGGAGCCATGGCAGAGAAGGCCTGTTCTTGTGTTGCCACCCTCTGGACCTCTTGAGGAAAAGGCACACGAAGATGATCTCAGGGTCTTGGTAGGTTTATATGGAAAGGGGCCGTTCTTGAGGTATTGTGGCCCTGAGCCATTTAAGGCTTTATAGGTCAAAACCAGCACTTTGAATTGGGCCCATAAACTAACCAGTAGCCAGTCCAATCAGGATTGGTGTAATATGCTCAAACTGTCTTGCTCCAGTGAGCAACCTGGCCGCTGAATTCTGCACTAGCCGAAGTTTCCGAACCGTCTTCAGAGGCAGCCCTACGTATAATGCATTGCAGTAATCTAACCTAGAGGTTACCAGAGCATAAACAACAGTAGTTAGGCTATCCCTATCCAGATAGAGGCATAGCTGGGCCACCAGCCGAAGCTGATAGAAGGCACTCCAGGTCACTGAGGCCACCTGAGCCTCGAGCGACAGCAAAGGATCCAGGAATACCCCCAAGCTACAAGCCTGTTCCTTCAGAGGAAGTGTAACCGCATCAAGAGCAGGCAATCTCCCACTCATCTGGTCTAGGGAACTAACAGTGTCTCAGTCTTATCTGGACTGAGTACATTTTGGACAATGCATAAGTGGTCACCCTAAATGGAGGAAGGGGGGGATTAAACCGCCCCCCCCAGGGAGAAATAGCTTCCCTGAAACAAAACTAAATCTGCCCTCCCCAGTCATTAGACATTTTGGTCCCAAGTGTCATAAGAATGCCCTCAGCTGGTATGTGCAAGTCATAATACATACCAACTTGTAGTGAATCTACCAATAGAGCAGTTTACTTCAACCCTCATTTAATGGGAAGGCGGAGATTAGTTTTGTCATCAACAAAGATGCTAAATTCATAGCACTCTCCCACCAGCTAATAATGCTCACCCCATAATTACTTTCAATTCATATGGAAGCTTTCCCACTAAAGCTAACCTCCAGGCTTGCCTATACTTGTAATCCAACTCTTTAAATCCTCCCAGAATCTGGTAACAGTTAGGTGTGGCAGCCGTTTGTACACATTCAGAGATTCTGCAGTGGATACGTGTCTTCTATCTCTCAGAAGATCTGTTGCTCAGTGGTGGAGCATCTCCCTTTCATGCTCAGTGTCCCAGGTTGAGTCTCCACATCGGTCTGTAGAACAAGGAAAGACTCCCTGGCTGGAACCCTGCTGAGCTGCTGTCAATCAGTGTAGCTGGCACAGGGATAGATGGCCCAATGTTCTGATTCAATATAAGGTGGCTTCCTGTGTATCAGTAGATGTCCCCCTTTTTCTCTCCATGCAGCAGGATCCATCTTGGTTTGTGTGTGTGGAGCAGTTCTCCAACATATTCACCAGCCACTTTGCCTGCGGCAAAAGAATAGCTATGTCAGGTGATTCTGTGTTTGGCATTCTGCAGAGTCAAGGCTTGTTATATGCTTATGGTACGTTGCATTTTAGAGTGTCAGAATGTCACTGTTGCAGAAAATGAGGCAAGGGGTAGAGTTTATACCTTTTAGTTGGAAGTGGATGGGGTGTGTGTGTGTGATATGCAATACAGGGAAAAAATGCTCATGTTAGAGATATTGTTTTACCTTTGATGTTTAGCTTAGACCACGCATGCACATACCTTTCTAAAGCCAATATTGGTATTCCAGCAGTCCAAATTCAGTTTGGTGTATAGTGCAACTTCTTCTGCATGGGGCTTCCTTTTAAAAAGGGCTTGGAAACTTCAGTTGATGCTGCTGGTTTTGACTGCTGCCAGTTTTTCAGATTACAGTGGTACCTCGGGTTACAGATGTTCCAGGTTACAGACATTTCAGGTTACAGACACTTCAGGTTACAGACTCCGCTAACCCAGAAATAGTACCTCAGGTTAAGAACTTTGCTTCAGGATGAGAACAGAAATCGTGCTCCGGCGGCAGCGGGAGGCCCCTTTAGCTAAAGTGGTGCTTCAGGTTAAGAACAGTTTCAGGTTAAGAATGGACCTCCGGAACGAATTAAGTTCTTAACCCGAGGTATCACTGTAATGCTGTTCCAGTAGCTCCCTGTCTGTGTCCAAGACCAAATCAAAGCCCTGATTACAGTACTTATGCTTTTAGAAGTCTTAAATGATTTGGGGCCAGGAATTCACCACCACCTGTGACGCTACCTGATCTCTCAGGCCTTTGATGCAGGCTCTTCTCAGGGTTCCACAACCAGCAGAGTCTGATTGGTGAGCATATGGCGTTGCTCATTGACCTGGTGCTTTCCAGGTATTTTTGACCACAACTCCTTTCAGCCCCAGGAAGCACAGCCATATAATGTTCAAGCTGATGGGAGTTGCAGTCCAAAACATTTGGAGAGTACCAGCTTTGGCTTTCCTGCCGAGACTGTGGAGCTCTCTAGCATGGGGAATGAATTTTCTGACTTCCCTAATGGCGTTTAGATTTCCAATGAAAACTGGTGTTCTGTATATCTTTGGCATTAATGATGATTGAATTTCTCCCTCCTTTTTAATGCTGGTTCTGTTCTTATTGTTATATCTACACTTGTATTTCTTACCAAATTCAGATTATTATTATTTTAATTTTTGTTTTTTAAACAACTTACTAGCTGCCTTAGTGGTCCCTAAATATGTAAATATATGACATACGTAAGTACTTTCAGATGTTGATTGATGTATGGATGTTGGGGGGCAGGGTCGCCATGTGTGATTTGGGATGGAAGGGTGCATCAATTTTGGTTCTCTCACTTTGGAAAAATGATAATCTAAAATTCAGTTTTCCACATTTTGAAGCAATTTGCAAACTTTTGTTTAAAAAATACTCATGAAAATTCATCAGCATTTTAGTGCCAATTTCTTCCATTAAACACAGCTTTATATGCTGTTTTTACTAATGTACATATTTTTTGCAAGCAATTTCCTCTAATATAATGCATTCTTGTCAGTTATCTTCACCCGATATTCATTTTCATGCACACTTCCCCCTAATATATGCATTTTTGCAAACATTGATTGGTTGGCAAACTATGGTAAAATTCAGGTGAGTGCAAATTTCAAAGGATAGCTGTGTTTGGGTTTGAATATTGTTTCGAAATGTGCTAATTTGGTAGATTCTGTTTTAAAGGACACCTGAATTTCTACTCTATCCCTATGCAATTCTAACTTTCCTTCTCTTTTGTTCCTAGAATATATTACAGCTGGAGGTCTGTAGTGCCAATCTAACCGACAAAGATGATGTACTTTTTGTTATCTTTTTCGATTTGGAAAAAGTCCGGCCTGGCACAACAGCTCTTGAGCTATTTTCCTTAAAACCAGAGGTGAGGACAAAAAGTTAATGTATTGTCTACGCATTTACGAAACTAACTAACTAACTAACTAACTAACTAACTAACTAACATTCAGAGAACTGAAAAACCATGGAATAGCTAGCAAGCAGAGCAGACAGGTGAGGATGTCTTGGGTGTCCCATGGTCCACTCCCAGGTCTTGGCTGACTGCTTGAGAATCACTTCCTAAGAGAATTACTTAACTGGGTTTTGTCCAAGTAAAAACAGAAGTGAATTTGGAGGTTCTTTCTCAGGCAGTTACAGAAATGTTGAGGGAACCCAAACAACTTTAGGTAACACTAGCAGTAATAAATAATATGATGTGGATGTTCTTTTACCTTGCTTCAGAACAGCTGTGCAGAGCTACTAATTTCACTAGGGAGTGACACCTCATCCCTTTCATCTGCCCTATTTCCCCAGTCTAAATTCTTCCCCCACCACCAATGCCTGGATTCCAGGTGTGCTTAGTTAGATTTTGCCAGATTGAAGGGTTTGGGAGTCCAGTGACAAGTGTCAATTATGTCCTTAGTGACTGAGATTACTGCACTGAGTAGATAAATGAGCATTAGTAATTGTTTTTTGTGTTATCAGAAAGAAGATTGTCCTCATGCTTATGAATCTCTGGAAGTGGAATTCAAGTTGGCAGAAACGTAAGTGGTTTGTTAGATGCAAGAAAAGGATTCTAAAAATAGTATATTTTTGGGAATTCCTACTTTTCTTTTGTTATCTAGTGTGTTTCTGCTAATCTCGTGGTTTTAATATGTCTCCACCACTATTCCTTCTTTCTGTTTTGTCTACATTTGAATCTTAATATTCTGGTTTTGTTTATGCTGCCATATTTGGGTAGTACTATATTATATTGAGAATAATGAACTACCTTTCTTTCTTTATGTCCGTATCATTAATGACAATACATCAAAAATAGGAAAGGTACATCCTTGCATTTTTGTGTAATTGGTGACCTATAGTGTCAAGATACCACCTCAGATGAACCAATGGTCTCCTTTGCTATAGCAGCATGTTTAACCAATATGGCCTTTTCAGTACTCCACCTGATTTGTGGAATGCCTCTCCCTATTGCTCTTTTTATGTATTGCATTAAATCAACTACTTTGAATTTGCCCCATATAAAAATAGAATGCAAGTTACTAAATAAATAGCAATTCTCCCCAACTTCTCCATATTATAGTACAAGAGCACTTTGTGATTTGCCTGACTATTTCATTTCTGGTTTGTAGGGTAGGATTCCAGCAGCTATGTGGTCAGACTTCCATGTACAGTGGTACCTCAGTTTTCGAATGTCTCTGTTGACGAACATTTCGGTTTTTGAATGCCATAAACCCAGAAGTAACTGCTTTGGTTTTCAAACATGACTTGGAAGTCGAACATGCCACACAGCTTCTGCTGAGTGCAAGATCCTGAGACCTAGCTATTGAGTTTTTGGTTTTTGGATTACGTTCGAAAACTGAGGTACCACTGTATTAAGTACCTTGAAAACTATTGCTCTTTGTCAGTCATTTCCAAAATGTTACTTTATTAAATATCAACGACTTTACCAGGCTCAGATTTAATCACCCCTTTCCTTCCTCTCTACCTTCCAGTTCAGGACCTCTCGAGCAACTGATTTCCAATGGTGTTTTAGTGGTAAGATTTCTTTGTATTGAAAGTTATCTTGATTCATAATTATTTATTCAATCCTGTTGGAGATGCTAACTCTTTAGGAAAGATGACACTCTTGGTAATATCTAATTCCTTCAGGATTATGCAAGCAATTGAGAGTACATCTTTCCATAATAGTAAGCTGATCTCTGATTTTAAAATATTTATATGGCTTTTATTGTGTGGTTTTATGTACAACTGCTGTAAACTGCTCTGATACTTTTTTATAAGTATTTTAAGCAGTATATCAATATTTTTATTAAAGAGATGGGTGGATGAACAAATGAAGTCATATTCAGGGTAGACACACTGAAGGCTCCTCCAGGTGACCTATTTATTGAGTATTCATTGCAATTTCCTTGCACAAGGCTTACATAAAGATTAGACCATGTCTGGTTATTATTGAGCTTTTGTTTTGATTTGTTTATGTGAGATTAAATGATAAAGAATATTCGTCCTTATTTGCTGCATGGTGTTCATATGTCTCCCTGTTAATAATCCCCCCCCCCGGTCACTTTCCTAACCACAAAAAGCATTTTCTTTTTAAATAAAAAAGTGGATTTGTCATGCTAGGGCAATAGTGTGCTTCAGCCTACATTTCCAGTGTGTGTTGGAACCCCTCCTGCAAAATACTGAAAGTCTAGAGGGGACAAGCAGTGGATATAAATTACTTGTCCATTGATTTCAGTGGATCTTTTCTGAATATGACCAACACTGAATATCACCTTCTGGGATTCTACGAAGTGCTAGCAAATAGAGAGAGAGAGAAATTAGAGAATGGCGAGAATGGTGCAATTAAATAACTGGCAATCATATTCCTTAAACAAATTGCTTGGAAGAAATAAACAAATGGCTTTGATTGTAGAAATACTTTGTATTTTCCTCCAAGCATTCAGATATGCAGGCATCGACATTATTACTCTGTGCCCTTGTTTTCATAGGCTCGTGAACTTTCCATCTTGGAAGTAAAGGTGAAGAAAGAAGAGAATGAGAAGCTTTTGAAAGGTTGGCCTCTCTCTCTTAGGCATGTAGCCAGCTAGTGTTTTACCACTAATTATTAAATATAGTTTACTAGGGCTGCAACATTTAATTGACTGTATTATTTTTTTACTGATGTTGAGATTGTAATTTTAACTGATGTAAGCTGTAAGTTTATTTTGAAGATAAATACGGCAGAAGGCAGATGCTATCTTAGAAGAGTAGTAGCTATAAATATTCAACTACTTTAAAGTATTTCTAAGTACTTATATTAAAAAATAATAAACCTGCTGCCTAATTGGCGACTGTCTAATGAATGTTGCCTTTTAGTCAGTTAAATAGCTTCTTAATCCATTAATCACACTGGAGGGAATTCCTCTTCTAAGACTGCAGCTGTGACTCATTAAAATTTCCATATGTATGCTTTTCTTTTCACAATTATTGTTTTAGTTTTATGCAAACTCATGTAATTGATGAAATCTAAATTTATGAATTGGCTGAGATCTCATTAACTAAGTTTAGGGTACCAACTTGCTTCTCTCTAAGTTGTGGGCTCCAGCTCCCATCAGCATCAGCCATCATGGGCAAAGGTCAGGGATGATCACTGTAGTCCAGCAATCCCTGAATTAACTGACAGGCCTACTTTTTCTATCTACTTTACATAATTTTCACAAGAGAAATAGCAAAAAACAACAACACAAAAGCACTCCTAAGTAGGTCAAGTTTAGAGATGCAATGAATTGTCTCCTCAATATCCTCCTCTGATTCTATCTGCAAATTTTGATGTTGAATGCTTGCCTCATATTTTCTGAAGATTCAGATATCTGCATAAAAGGTGGAGCTAAAATATGGGTTTCTAAACTCATGTTTCTTGAGGGGTAGGATTTGTAAGAGAGAACTGACAAGAGGTGGATGCTTAGTAAGCAATTATTTCCAGAGGGGTAGCCATATTAGTATCTTACAAAAGAAAAGAAAAAAAGAGAAAAGAAACAAAGAGTATTATGATACCCTAAAAACTAACAAATGCATTATGGCATCATAAATTGTATATAATACAATAGGTTGATAAATGTATCAAGATATTCACTTCTCCAAACTTTGCAGTGTGGTTCTCTACCCATTTAATATGTAAAGAAATGTATATGCGGGGGTTAAGTGTGAATAAAAATGCATATATTCCTGGGAATAACATACAAAATGCATTTTATTAGGGAAAATTGCTCCTCAGAAATGTGTATATTAGGCAAAATTGCACACAAACAAACATATATATTAGGAGAAATTTGCACTACTACATAGCTGATGTGAAATGCTAACAAATCTGAAGTGCTCAAGTTGTGAGGTAAAAATGAGATTTTAAATTTAATATTCAGATCATGTGTGGTGACTGTTACATTTTTGGTAGATTTTGAATATTTGCTTGAATTTTAAGCCAGGCCAATTTAATTTTCTTAATAGGCAAAGTATGAAGTTTAGCAGACCAAAATAAAGATAACTCGTTATCAGTGGATGTTACTCATATTGAATATGTATAGTTTATGTATAATATATCTGGAATACAGCAAGGCTTTTGATGTAGCCTCACTAAGCTTAGATGAAAGTTTCATACAAGTATGCAGTTAGCTGATCTCACACATGCAAAGGAACAGTAATATATACATAGAGAGAGAAAAAGAGAGAGCTACACATCAGGATTGTATAGAACGATGCTAAACAGAATTTAACTGGTTAATTAAAAATTGTCTGTGAACAAAAATGTGTAACTTATGATTAAAGTATAAATTTTTTTAGCCAAGAAAAATGTTGTGCTTACCATGCGAGAGTCTTATGAAGGGACACAGAAGACGTCCGAAGATGTAGATTCCTTCTGCTTTCATTGCATAAAGAGCTGGGGGCCAGTGCTGAAAGCCAACATTCAGGTAAAAGCCACTGTCTTTTATCCTGTACCCACAGGTAGTATTAGAAAAGTACAAGGAGTACTCAGCAATCACAGGAGCATATGCCTGAGGCTAAAGAATCCTGAAATGTTGTGCAGTGGTACCTCCGGTTACAAACTTAATCCGTTCTGGAGGTCTGTTCGTAACCGGAAACCGCTCGTAACATGAGGTGCGCTTTAGCTAATGGCACCCCACCCCCTCCTGCTACCGCGCCACCCGCATGCAACTTCTGCTCGCATCCCGGGGCAAAGTTCGCAACAAGGGGCATCTGCTTCCGGGTTAGTGGAGCTCATAACCCGAAGGATTCATAAGGAGGGCAGTATGTAATGAGGTTCCAGTGTACTGAAATAAATATTTCTGCCAGCACAAGAATTTCTACTCGTGCAATGGAACTTTCCCTCTCTCTCCTCCCCGCCATGTGCCCCCTAAATCTGTTTTCAGCGTTCCCCCAACCCTCTGGAGCAGATTTTAGGTGTGTGTGTCATGCATGGGGGACAGGAGATGAGGGGAAGTTCCATTGCACTAGCAATAATTCTTGTGCTGGTGGTACAGTTGAATACTATTCATAGTTCCTGAAAATCCAAAATGTATTGATGTTGAGATCTCTAGTTATTCTCCTTGTTACATGTCTAACTAGCAAACCTGTTCTAATTGGCACAATAGCCAAAGAATGATAAAGTGCTCTGCTTTGATCTAGTAGTTCAACCGATTATGAAAGTCAAATAGGATAGTTAAATCAAATAAATACATTTGTAATAGTTTGTGCTATATTGAAAAGCGCTTCATCATGATTCAGTAATGGTCTTACTTTTGACTTTGTCAAAACCATTGTTGAGGATATTTTAGTGAACAATAAGAGTACAGTTTGGACGCGGGTGGCGCTGTGGGTAAAAGCCTCAGCACCTAGGGCTTGCCGATCGAAAGGTTGGCGGTTCAAATCCCCGCGGCGGGGTGCGCTCCCGTTGTTCGGTCCCAGCGCCTGCCAACCTAGCAGTTCGAAAGCACCCCCGGGTGCAAGTAGATAAATAGGGACCGCTTACTAGCGGGAAGGTAAACGGCGTTTCCGTGTGCGGCTCTGGCTTGCCAGAGCAGCGATGTCACGCTGGCCACGTGACCCGGAAGTGTCTCTGGACAGCGCTGGCCCCCGGCCTCTTGAGTGAGATGGGCGCACAACCCTAGAGTCTGTCAAGACTGGCCCGTACGGGCAGGGGTACCTTTACCTTTACCTTAAGAGTACAGTATGAAGGGAAATCCCGGGACAATGCCTCTGGTTCAAAGAGATGGCTGCTCAGCTCTCTTTAGGCTGGATGCTAACCCTAAGGTGGTCCTTGTATTAACACATAGCTTCCCTTCACTCATTCTAAGGCCCATTTTATGGCTGAGAGGCAGGTTAAACATGACATGAAATCAGTGTATGCTTCTTATCTGAGATCTTCATTTTTCAATGTAGTTTCTACGTCTGGTACCTTAGGGTAAAAACTATACAGTATGTTTTCCTTTCTTCCCCAGAGTATTTCATGTGAGGAGAAGAACGATTCAGGCCACGCTTTAATTCTGCCTTTGAAATTGCTTCCAGTGGGACAACAAGTCAAAGTAACTCTACCTGTGCTAGAGGCAAGTGTTGCTTCTGTTTAATAAGAGCTCTTCGAAACAACCTTTCTATTCCTTTTTAATGTGTTTCCATATCACTTTCCAAACTGTAAGAAGACATCTTCATTTTTTTAAAAAAACTGTGATATGTTGCAGTAGGGTGACACTCTCATTTAGACAAGGGCAGGGCAAATGTCAGAGTGGTTGTATCTACTTTTGCTCATTTAGAATTAAACAATAAGCTGCCTTTGAGCACATGCTGAGCCTAGGAGTTTGTTTTTGTTATGTACTGAAGTTCTCACCCTGGGCCAGCAGGGGGATACTGTAGATAGTTATGCAAATACGGGATTGAAAGTGACATTCAGTGATTGGATAGTTTTAGAAAGTTGTTACAGTAACGTTGTACTGGAGCTTTATATAAGCAGGCTGGCTGAACCCTTCAGTTCAGTTCTGCTCTGGCCTGTGAATAAACAAGAGCTGTTTGAAGAATCACTGTGTCGTCTGATATGTTCACCCACAACTTAACAGTTTTCAGTACCAGAAGTGGGTGGAACGAGGGGTGGCTTAGCTGAACGCTTTCCACCCCTGTTTTCTGGCAGGTAGCAGCATGCCTATCTCCCTCTAGATCAGGGTTTAGTAACCTTTTGCAGCCATGGGCCGGTCCACCATCCCTCAGACCATGTAGTGGGCCGGACTATATTTTGGGGGAAAAAATGAATGAATTCCTATGCCTCACAAATAACCTAGAAATGCATTTTAAATAAAAGCACACATTCTGCTCATATAAAAACACCAGGCAGGCCCCACAAATAACCCAGAGATGCATTTTAATTAAAAGGACACATTCTACTCATGTAAAAAGACGCTGATTCCCGGACCGTCCGCGGGCCAGATTTAGGAGGTGATCTGGCCTCCAGGCCTTAGGTTGCCTACCCCTGCTCTAGATAGAGAGAAGCATAATGGAAGCTTTATTCTGGCTTCTAGATGTGACTGATGAGAAGAATTACTCCTAGTAGGAAGAAGGGACTAAGGAGACTCAACTTCCTGAATGGTAGGCAGAGCAGTGTATTTTGGTCTGCTCTTTTCTATGCATCAGTCTGATGACAGTATTGAGACAGAAGAGTTAAGTTACAAAAATGAAGTAAGAAACAAAAAAGATTCCACATTCCAGTGTTTTGACTCTTTGAAGACAGCCCTAGCATGTGAGTTTATCGGCTTCACATTCCTGCCAAAACAATCTCAAGAAAGACCAGCAATGCAGAAAATCATTTTCTGTGGTTGGTATCGGACTTCAAGAATAGGAAAAAAGGGCTGCTTCATAAGTTTGCATTCCCCACCGCCCCACAAGGAAGTTGCTGCCATGCAGTTTCAAGAAAACACAGAATCCAGAGCAAAGAAGAATCTGTCCATTTCAGTTTCTCATTTTTCCAATCTTAAATTCAGTTCTCCACATTCCCGCAGCATGAAAATTGATCAGCTACGTAGTGCAATTTTCTCTTTTAAGATACACAATTTTGTATATCATTTTGACCTATGCACACTTTTTTGAAAGCACATCTCTTTACTATAAAGCATATTTGTATGCTGCATTTGCAAATGTGTGCATACTTTCCCCTGAAACATACATTATTTTGTACTGGTTCTTGTATTGGTCTGGGAAGTGTAAACTAGGTAGCTTCTCATTAAAATGCAAACGGACTTTGATTTCTCTCCCATCTTTAATTGTTTTTTATAATTGCTTTCATAAACAGACATAGGGCAATCACAGCTCCTTAGCACAGACAGCTGCAGTGATTCATTTGTGATCCGTTATCATGCACGATCAGGGCTTTTCCATTTTATTTGTCAGGTTGTGTTCTTTTCATACATATATTGTTTCATTTCAGGGTGGAGCTTTGGAGTTGTACCTCAAGGTAATTGACTGGTAAGATACTTGCTTTTTTCCCAAAGTGCTCTGGCCTGGCCACCTTGAGGACATGAGGAAGGGATGGGAGACAGTTTGCTTCTTTAATAAGCAGGCGTCTCTACAATTGTAGAACTGCTGTGGTTCAGCTAATGTCATGTCATGCCATGGCATTTCTTAATTGCACTGCATCATTTGAGTGTGATGTGCATTTGCACCTTCCCAGTTGCTTCTTGTATTAAAGCCGATTCCTTGCATTTGCATGCTGAATATCTCCCCCATCTTGCCACAAAACGATATTTGCTCAGGAGCACCAATATTTCTGATTTTTATTTTAAAAAACTAAACAGAAGTAAAGCTCTTAAAAGAAATAGAAAGCACTACTTCTTTGTTGTTGCCATTTTTAAAATGGAGTATGTCCCACGGGAGTCCTTGTAGGGAATCTTCCCTCTGCCCCCCCTTCCCTCTGCTAATGCTGCCCCTGCTTCCTTGAGGGTGGCTGGTCTGCTTCCCAAGAAGTCCCCCTCTGTGTAATGATGTATGTGGTTGTATTTTAGTTTACATTATGGTGGTGTTTGGGTGAATTTGCGCAAGAAGATAAAAATAAACAAAGCCCCACTTTTGTACCTCACAGTTAATTGCTTTATTATAAAGTTCCTAAGACTTGCTTCTACCCACACTATATGTAGCTTTCTTAGCTGAAGCAGGGAGAAGTGCAGACCTGTGTCTGTACAAGTACACAATGGTTGTCAATACATCTGGTTTAGTACAGACATAAAGACTGAAAACCTTACAATGAGTGCACATGGGGCTGAGTGAGTGGGATCACATCTGCTGGCCTCATTTCTGTGTAACTTATAGAGCACAGCTGGATTTTATATTTTATATTTTTTTAAAATGGGGCATCAACCATTATATACTCCCTTCTTCCTGGACAGCAGCCCTACAAAGCACCTAATAGAACTTCATTTGAATGTCTGTGAATTCCTCTCATATCTTCCCTTCAGTGATTAAGCACAGACTTCACCCACAATTCAGCCAACCTTCTCCTCCTTCTCCTTCTCCTTCTCCTTCTCCTCCCTCTTCCCTTCCTCCTCCTCTTGCCCACTGCCATTTTGTTTACCACAAAGCCTAATGAAGAGTTCTGGAGGACCTGAAAGCCTGCACAGTATTTTGTAACAAACATGTATTGCTGACCTACTAAAAGTATTCCCATAATTTGGACTTTGGAATTGTATTTAAAATTATGTATATCTATGTAATATTCTGCCCAATTTATCAGTTCATCTTTTTTTAAACGAATTAAACACTTCAGGCCTACAAATAATATGTGGAAAGTAGGTGGAGTTCCCATTTAAAGGTCATATTTATACCTGATGTGTGAAAAGAGGAGGCCACCAAGGCAACACAGCAATTCCATATAAATAATAACATGCCTTGAATGGGAGTCTTGTTTTTCTGGTTCAGAATTTGACTGATGAGTCTTAGTTGTTGATAGAAGCTTGTGTAATTGCAGCTACTGTAAAAATGACCTGTCATCTGCTCCACAGTGACATGGCTCTGTAACTCTGTTCCAGTCCACAGAATCTTGATGTGCGTTTGGGATATGAGCTTTGTGCTGATGAGCAGGACTTCCTTCGCAAAAGGAAGAAGATCGTTGCTGATGCCTTGAATAAGCTTGTTAATATGAGACGAGGACTGTTTGAGGACGAGGTGCGTCTTAGCATCCCATGATCTGTTTGGAAGATATCTGGTGACTCACATGGTTGGGATTGTTGTTTGCATGGATTTGTATTTGACATAGGACTACCTGTGAAGTGTGAAGATTCATGTACTGTAAGGGAGGTCCTGAAAACTACAATTCTGATGTCACGCAAACTTCTTGTCTTGTGTGAATTCCCGTTAACTGTCTACTTCGCAACTTAAATAAATCCACAAATTCATTGGGGGCCCTGTTCCATAACCTCTGCACTCGTATAGGATAGCACAGTTTTGCACATGCAAAGTGAGAGCCAAAATGAGAGATTTGAGACTGAATCCCACCTTAGCCGTGAGCAACCTTGTTCTTGGCCAATGTTCCACATTCCATCCTCTATAAAGTCAGGATTTGCCTCACAGGACAAATGAGATTAAGAGAGCAGGACATTCTATAATTTATTCTAGGGATCAAACAAAATAACCTTTAATTCACAGATCACTACCATACTGTATTTCATTGTTTTCCAACCAGTATTTTGTTCTGTATGGATGCTGGAAAGCCAAGATTTTGAAATTCTAATCTAATTATTGGTCACATTAAGCAGAGTCTTATAATGCAATCGTTCGGGTTTCTGAGGTCATCACTTATATTTTTGGTGATGCCATTGCTTATATATTTTTAACAGGTCCCCGTGATAGCTGTTATGGCAACAGGAGGCGGAGTCAGAGCCATGTCAGGATTCTATGGTCATCTCCTAGCACTCCAGAAACTCAACCTTTTGGATTGCATTTCATATATCACCACTGCTTCTGGGTCAACATGGTAAGGAGTTAGGAAAGTATGTCACATTTAATTATAATCCCAGCTGTACTGGGCACAATCCATTTAACATTCTACATTCTGAAGGTCAGTGGAACAAATATACACCTCAGCGGGATTTCCCATGACTAGTGTATTTTGGTTCACACTCCAATAAAATTTTGTGGTGTGGGCCAATAGATACAAAATTAAGGAACCTGAGTTTTGATTCTCCTTCAGCCATAGTGGCACCTACAGCTGAGGGAGAGCCGGTGGGCGAACCGTTTCGGCAGCGGGAAGCCTGCATGTGCCAAAGCCACAGCATCTCTCACAGACGTTGAGTTCTGCACAGCATTTTGTCACCCCCCTCGGAGGTGACACCCGGGGCGGACCACACCCACCGCACCCACCGTGCTACACCTCTGGGGTAAGGTGAAGTGACCCTTTGCTGGACTTCATCAGCCTCTGCCACTATGGAAGTCCCCATGGCACCCAGGGCGGTAGGAAGTTCCTGTTAGTGCCAGTGCCCTGAAATGAAGACATTTTGAGGCTGCAGAAAAATCCCTGTCAGGAGGGAAAAAGCTGGGGTATACTGTATTTTGTCCGAATGTAAGCAGCACTTGAATATAAGCCACACCTTTAAAATTGGAGTGGGGGGAATAAAAAAATACCTGCATACTGGGGGGGGGGGAGCCGTGCAGCGTTGCCAGCAGCCTTTCCCCTCTCTCCTTTCCCGGCCTTGGGGGGGAGAGGATGCGCGGGGCAGGCGGCGCTTTGCCACGCTCCTGGCTCTGTTTGCCCCGCGCTCCTGGCTGCATACCGTAAGGTCGTTAATATAAGCCACACTTTAACTTTTCCCAGTCGGAATTTGGGGGCAAAGTGAGGCCAATACGGTAAATAAAATCATCATCATCATCATCCTTGTTCTGTAAATGCTGTTTTTTCTCCTCCCTTTCTTAGGACTATGACAGACTTGTACAGAAATACTGATTGGTCACATGAAAATTTGGAAGAAGCTATCAAAGTAGCTAAAAGCAGCATGTTGAAGAGCAAAATAGATATTATTTCCATCGATCGATTGAAGTATTATCACAAGGAGCTGGTTGAGAGGGTTAAAAGGGGACATCTTCGATCTTTTACAGCTCTCTGGGCCCTTGTTCAAGAAGCTTTCTTACATGATAAAGTATGTATATTAAATGTTTTGTTATTCCTAAACTAGGGGCTCTGATGGATCTCTGTAGTCACAAGGGCTTACCTGTTGACAAATCCCTGCGCATGGAGGCAGTTTTTTCCCCAGTCAAAGAAAACCATGAAAGCCTCTCACACGGTTTTAGGTTACACTGTTTGCAAGAGCCATCTTTTCCCCTTTGACAATATTTTAGGTTTTGCAAGTGCTATTAACTTTGCACACCACAGAGCACTCCCTGAGTAGTGGTTTGAGCACTTTAATAATTTTTACCCAAGTATAAAATGTTCAGATATGGGACGCGGGTGGCGCTGTGGGTAAAACCTCAGTGCCTAGGACTTGCCAATCGTATGGTCGGCGGTTCGAATCCCCGCGACGGGGTGAGCTCCCGTCGTTCGGTCCCAGCTCCTGCCCATCTAGCAGTTCGAAAGCACGTCAAAGTGCAAGTAGATAAATAGGTACCGCTTTATAGCGGGAAGGTAAACGGCGTTTCCGTGTGCTGCTCTGGTGCTGGTTCGCCGGAGCAGCTTCGTCACGCTGGCCACGTGACCCGGAAGTGTCTTCGGACAGCGCCGGCTCACGGCCTCTAGAGCGAGATGAGCAGGCAACCCTAGAGTCGGACACGACTGGAACCTAAAATGTTCAGATAAAAAAAGAGCATTGAAAGCAGCATTTGAAAGGTAGTGCTTATATTTATGCTGACTTAATCAGCACAGGATTGAACCACAGATAAACTCAGAAGCAGACGTCACTAAGTTCAATGGGACTTACTCCCAGTAAATGTTCATTGGATTGCTGCCTCCCATCATATCTGTACACAAGGAAATTGTGCAGAAGGAAAACCATTCTGAAACTAGTTACTAGTTCCCCTAAAACATTTCTACAAGAAAAGAACAGAGTGAAACTCATAGAAAGATTGGCGGGCTAGGGGTTGTTTCTCTATTCATCTTAAACATGAAAATCATGTTCTTGGTTGGAGTGAGGAGGGAAATTTTAAGCCAAGCCAATTCCCATGCTACCCTAAACTCATCTGCTAAAGGCTAGCACCAAAGAAGGACCATCTAATTGTTGTGAAATGCCCTTGGCTCAATTTTTGGTGAGCCTGCAAGAGGCCAAGACTTATGGTACATAACAGCAACTAAGCATCTTTACTGTCATGTGCTATGAAGTAGACGGGGAGAGAAAGTTGTATTCCTTGGGGCATTTGAGCTTTCCCTATCTTATCAGTGAGGAAGTGGTGGTGATGGGGTGTATGTGTGTGTGTGTGTGTAGAAGACCTATAGTTCAGGGGTAGATCACATTATTTCCATGCAGTAACTGCTATACTCAGTCTTTGGCTTATCAGTGAAAGGTGATAGTTAGGTGATTGGAAAATCCCTGGAGTGCTGTTGCAAGTTTGGATAGAGAACACTTGGACCAATGGTATGACTCCATAGAAGACAGATTCATATATGGTAGGAAGGGAATGGGCACACCTGCTATTTCTAGATCGGATTTTTCTTTTCGGGGGGCAGTGGGAAGCTCATTTTCCTATTCCAGCATTAACCTTTCACTCAGAAAAAATGGCCAGACAATGAGATTTAATAACTATCTAGACCTATTCATACCCTCTCCATCTGGCTGGGTTTCCCCTGCCACTCAGGGCAGCTTACAGCATATATACTTGCAGAGAGTAAAGTCAGTATTAGATTGCAGGGGGCGCGGTGGGGCGGGAGTCAATATGGTTTCATAATCACCCTTTTGATACTGGATGCTCATGAGATATTGGCTTCAATGTTGTTTTTTTCATTTACTTTGATATTAGTTTAATGACAGTAAACTCTCAGAACAGCGGCAGGCTTTGGATCAAGGTCAGAACCCTTTGCCTATCTACACAGCTGTAAATGTCAAAGACAAAGTCAGCACCTTTGATTTCAGAGGTAGGTGTTGTCATGCTAATCTCACTGTTGTTGAATGGAATCCTTGATGCTGCTGCTGAATGCTTTGAGCGTTTAAAGACAGAGAGAAATGTCATTTGGTTTTGCAGTTGAGTTGCTTCTATTTTGTAGGGGAATCCATTTCTTAGAGTAGACCTTCAGAAGGTCAAATTAAACAAGAGTCTCCTTAATTTGTAATTGGGAGTTTGGATTGCATTTTTCTTTCAGTTTAAAGCTTACAGTCATATCAAACTGGTATTTAGAGTCCTAATGTGAATAATATTTATACGTTTCTTCCTATTGGCTTCTAGGACAGTGTTTCCCAACCTTGGGCCTCCAGCTGTTTTTGGACTACAACTCCCATCATCCCTAGCTAGCAAGACCAGTGGTCAGGGATGATGGGAATTGTAGTTCAAAAACAGCTGGAGGCCCAAGGTTGGGAAACACTGTTCTAGGAGATTCCTTTTCAATGGCTTTAACCCTGATTTGGTTTTTCTTTCCCTGAAAACCTGAGCCTGTTTCCATGTTAACTTCTTTAAAAATTGTAATGAAAACCAATGGTTCAAAATTTCAAATGGTGATATGTGAAATAAGAAGAAATTACCTTGTATCCCATGTTGACTTTTTTGTAGGTGGTGTTTTCTGTACCCATATTCCAGATGTTGCATAAAATTGTCAGTGTTTTGTCATCCAAAATCTTGCTTGAATGAGCTTAGGTGATTCCTTTGCACACCTTTTGTTGCTCTCTGCTAGTTGGCCTTTTGTTCTTTAAATACAGTGCAGGGTAAATTATTCTATTTTTAATTTAGACCATCATTTACTACCCTAGTCAGACTTTACATCAAGATACAAAAATGGGACTCAATGGTTTGCTGTCTGATGATGCTAGTTCTTCCACCAAGAATGTCCACTGAGGATGTTTGCTTACTTCTTTTCTGCTTCTTTTTATGTTAGTGACCTAGCTATAAAGTTTAGAGGCGTTTAACCTTCTGTACACCATTTTGTTTGCAGAATGGGTGGACTTCTCTCCTTATGAAGTAGGGTTCCAGAAATATGGTGTCAACATTCGTGCAGAAGATTTTGATAGTGAATTCTTCATGGGAAAGCTAGTGAAGAAGATCCCAGAATCCCGGATTTGCTATCTGGAAGGTGATCTGTTTATTCATAAGCTAAACTAGAAAACCTATCAGCCTTTTGACATCCTTGCACATCTCCTTTCTTCAATGTTATCAATGCTTCATGACAACCAAATGATGCCAGTGTACAAGCATATCTCTCATATTATTTTTAATAATGTTATACCTCATTGCTGATATATGATGTAGCTTATACAAGATTCTATCTCTGTGTAAAGAACAAACTCAGTTTCCCAAGACACCACACTCCTGTAATTGAGTGTGTCATGGTGTGATTATGCTCTTACTGCATTCCTTCCAGCTGTTGTTTAAATGTATTATTAGCAGTGCTAATAGAGGCAACTAATGTATGGAAGAAAGAACAACCAGTTCCTTTCATGCTTTCATTGCAAACCAAAAATGCAGAGTGTTAATTTTCCTTTGCCACTCACAAATTACTTTCAAGAGCAGCAGACTGACAAAATGGTTGAAAAAGTAATGATCTGAATCTACTTCCTGTGTTTCAGTGATAAAGCAACATTTGGCCTCTCTTGTGGTAGTGTGACTAATAACTTGGTGCTAAGGCAAATAATTTGCTTATTCATTGAGCATATAGACACTGATTCTCCTGTTTCTGGTGGTTAACTTGGGCTAGTACAATGATTTTTCTGTGTGTTTGGACTTACAGGTATCTGGACTAACATCTTCTGTGTGAATCTTATGGATGGGCTGTATACTGCTTCAACGACAGAAGAATTTTGGGATCAATGGGCCAAAGACCTGGCCAAGAGTAAGAGCTTCAGTACTGACCTCTTTATTCTTGCTTGCACAGTTGTGGGTTGCATGCAGCTCCCCCAACGTGCTTATTCCCTTCTCAAATTTGTCACATAAATAATTAACTTAATGTTAAAATGAATGTTTTAAAATGTTTTTGACTGCTTCTATGGGCCACCCTCTGTGATGCCACAAGCCAGGTTGGTTCATAGGACAGAGGACACAAAACTTTGAAGTCTCGATTTGGCAGTCTTGCATCACATCCCAATCCCTCAATTCCTTCCCCTTCCCTTCCAGGGCAAAAACAGTGGCATCCAGGAGCCATGTTGACCATGGCTTCCATTCAACATAGCTCAAAGGCTAAGGTTCTGTCAGCACAAGGATCATCTGCTGGCTTCTGCTAGCACAACAATTTAATTGAATAAGGCTCTGCGAGGATGAAGAGAAAACCATGAAACTGAGAGTGGAGGTTATAGTATAGCCTTGCTGGTAGGAACCCTGAACAGGAGTACCCCTATCAGGGGGATGAGGATACACTGCAACTTTTGGTTGTGAATCCCACTTACAAGCGTCAGTGATTGGCTTTTGTTTTCATTTTCCAAGAGTGTGCCAGTTGGATGATGCCTTTATCAATGGAACATGGTTGTGTGGAAAAATACCTGAAGTGTTATGTTCTGGAAAGGGAAGGGAAAGCTTCCAGAAATTAACTTCCTCAATATTTTATTTCAGGTGAAGAACATGAAGGATATTTCTCGATCTATAAGCCTCCAACTTGTGGGCCTGGAAAACTTGGTGAAATCTTTAATGATATTCTAACTGATCGTCCTTTAAAAGGGGAAACTCACAACTTCCTACAAAGTCTTGACTTTCATAAAGACTATTTGCAACAGAAAGAATTTCTTGAATGGCGAGGTAACTAATAACTATGGTTCCCTAAAAGGTTTTGGCCCTTCACAACTAGCTCAGTTTTCTACAGCCAGCAGAAAATTCATCAAGACCCACAGCAATTTTCAACTGGTGCATGAGTTTGGGAACCACGGTCCTATGTAATTTTCATTTTATAGCAAGGGGAGTGCTCTTGTGCAACTCCTGCTCAGTTTGCTGGGTTTACCCAGTAGAAGCAAGGTGAATTATTATGAAAAGACAATGCAAATCTTACCAGTGATGGATGTTAATACCTGCTACCATGTTACTTTGACATAATCATCTTTCTCACGGTCATGCTGATAAGAAACCTTAAACCTTTTTTTTTCCAGATACTGTGCTTGATGCTTCTCCTAACAAGCTGACACCAGTGGACAAATCACTGTGCTTAATAGATATCGGCTTTTTTGTTAACACCAGTATTCCACCACTCCTTAAGCCAGAGAGGAATGTGGATGTCATCATCATGGTGAATTATGACATTAGTTCACCCTTCAAGGTAAGAAGAAATGAATTCTATATGGCTTTTCCATCCCAGTGTCTGTAGCAAGGTGGCATCCCAGGAAGCTTTGAGACGGTTGTGGAGAGGAACAATAGTTCAGCAGGTTCCATCCTTGGCGTTTCTGGTTAAGGATCAGGTTAAACAACAGAGCCTAGGACTTGCCGATCAGAAGGTTGACGGTTGAAATCCCTGCGACGGGGTGAGCTCCCGTTGCTCGGTCCCTGCTCCTGCCAACCTAGCAGTTCAAAAGCAGGTCAAAGTGCAAGTAGATAAATAGGTACCGCTCTGGTGGGAAGGTAAACGGCGTTTCCGTGCACTGCTCTGGTTCGCCAGAAGTGGCTCAGTCATGTTGGCCACATGACCCAGAAGCTGTCTGCAGACAAATGCTGGCTCCCTCGGCCAATAAAGTGAGATGAGCACCACAACCCCAGAGTCGGTCACGACTGGACCTAATGGTCAGGGGTCCCTTTACCTTTACCTAAAGGGGTAATGGGAACCCCAGAGAACTGTTGTCAGTCAGAGTATTAGGCAGGGTAGACAAATTATTGGATCTACTTTAAAGCAGTTTCAGAACTTATAAGGGAAGCTGCCATGCTGACTCTGGATCTGAATATCCCACATACGAACTGGGGGGGGGGGGGCTTGCTGAAGCAAACATGACACCTAAGAGAGGTGGAAGTAGATTTAATGAGAGTCATAAAATCAGCTTTTGGAACATGATGCAGGTATGTATGTAAGCTGTTTATAAGTCAAGTTAGTGGAGTCCCTTCCTTGCTAATGCAGGGAGTTATAGTGGTGTGGGTTTGGTATACTCACTCCATCTCTGAATCCACCTTGCTATTCAAGAATCAAGCGCCACAGTGGTGGTGCCTTTCCCACTGGCTCTGAAAAGAATTGTGTGGTCCCTGTAAAAAAGTCACCGGGATGGGATTTAAAAGGCTGTTGTTATTGGGTGTTCTCTCTCTCGTTAACAGAAGTAATACACACACATAAAGCCTATTGGACACATTTGGTGGTAATAATAATAATAATAATAATAATAATAATAATAATAATAATTGTACCCCACCCATCTGGCTGGGTTTCCCCAGGCACTCTGGGTGGCTTCCAACAGAACACTAAAAACAGAATAAAACTTCAAACATTAAAAACTTCTTTTCACTTTTAATTTTAAATTTATGAGATGGGTGTGATATAAATAAAGTAATCATAATAATATCATTTTTCTATAGCAATTGCTGTCAAAGCATCTTAGAGAATAGAACAGTAGCCTGTGTTTTGTATCGGGGTATGTGTTTTGTATTCACACCCCACATTTCAGCCCTCTCTAGGTGGCCAATCATGGGTTAATTCAGTGTGCCGTACTATTGACTTAAATTCTGATAAACAGAATGTGTTGATTTGTGTCTTCTCCAGCAAATACGTTTGACAGCCAAATACTGTGAAGAGCAAAGTATTCCTTTTCCAAAAGTTGACCTAACCGAAGAAGACTGGAAGAATCCCAGAGAGTGCTATGTGTTCTCAGATGAAGATAACCCACAAGCGCCAATTCTGATTTATTTCCCTCTAGTATGTGCCTCCTTCAAGGAGTACAAGGCACCAGGTAAATTCAGCGTCCATTGCCTAATGCGTTTTTAATAGCAATCTCTAGTCTGAACTTCTCAGTCTTTTTTTCCCCATTTAATTTTTTTGTTTAATCCATTTGATGCTTCTATCACTAGGAACCCTCGCTGGTGCCTGCCATTCCCCCCCCCCTCTTGAAATGTTGGTGCATGTTGACATAGCATCACTTGGAGGGAGTTCTGGGGAAAACTGGCACCCACCAGGATTTTTTTTTCCATACACCCACTTTCCCCTGCCAGCAACACAGAGAGGAAGGAGAGAGGTTTGCTGATTTATACACCCACCCACCCACTCACTGAACACAGGTCTCTGAAATAACTAAAAACCTGTCCCCACCCCACCCCATCCAGATGAGAGGTGGAAGGGGAGTGTGTACACCCTGGGTGAGAAGTAGGAATGGCTTGATTGATTTTTTTGTATCTTGCTGTGTAGTAAATTGGCATTCCCAATATATATCTGGCATAATTTATATGCATCTTACTATGTTCTATGCGAATATGTCCCAGAATTGGGAGCAGTGGTGGCATTTAGTTAGTTGGGTTGTGGAATAGCTGAAAGGGTGGGGAAGAGTCAAACTTTGACCCCTGAGTTATCCAATAGGTTTTGTGGCAGGAGGTTTATTACAGAAGTGCTAGGCCAGCTATTGTTTACACATAATAGACTCTGGCTGTGTCTTCCAACTTTCCCAAGCAGCTAAATAACACAAGAAGCAAGTAAGCAATCTATTTTTAAATAGCCATAATTTGGAATTTGTGTGTAGTGAATCCATCACTCCAAATTGCAAATGTGGGAATGGGTTGGACCTAACATAAGATTCCACTTTCCTTCCAATAAAAGGCCAATGAGAGTATATGGAAAGAATGCCGGAGCCAAGATTTGCAGTCTTCCACCTTGGCCCCAAACTGTTAATTGGAGACAAGCAAACATGAATCCCAGACAGTAACACATTTCTGAGCTACAGGCTCACATGGCAGCTGTAAAACTACAAGCAGGAGACTTGCCAATAGCAAAATATAGTAGGGCTTCATACTGCATAAGATTGGACGAAATTCAAAAAGGGAGGGAATGCTCTGCAATTATCTCCAAAGCTTGCCCCAGCCATGGTGAGATTCTATAGGTGTCATTTCCAAAATTGTTTGCAGAAACCACACACTATTTATTCACTATAGACATTTTCACCCTTTTCAGAGGCCTGGGAAAAGAATGCCCCTGGCTTCTACCTCTGCCCCTATGGCTGGGGTGGGGAGTTGATTCAGTGTGCTCCTAAAGGCCAATTTATGTAATCTGCATTTTCTGAAACAATATGCGAACCCAAACACAGTCACCCTTCAAGATTCCATTCTCTGAATTTTGCACAGCAGTTCCCCAGCCAAGCAGTATGTAAAATAATGTATGTGCTAGGGTAAATTGTGCATATGAATGCATGCTTGGAAGAGCACACAGATGCAAACAACAACAACAAAAGAATTTGCAAAGATGCATTGTTGCTATCACAGGAGAAACTTTTCTTTTAGCTGGCTGAATGAAAGTTTCAAGGGGATGCTGCTTGGATTTGCAGAAATGAGTATTGGAAAAATACCCTAAAAGTGCAATGTTGTCTTGCCCAAAAGAAAAGAAAACCCTATAGTACTTTTGGAATTTCTTACTGCTCAGCAAATTGGGTCGTGCATAACAAGGAGAGCATGGAATAGGTAGAGTAATGTGGAATCGTTTTGTTGCTGTTGGTTGTTTCCAGTTTAGCAAACGTGGACACTTCCAACCAAAATGCAGTACAGAACTCTGAATGAAGTAAGGTTTGCTTACCAGTGGTATTATTTTGTTTCTTTCAGGAGTGAAACGCACTCCTCCTGAAATGAGTGGATGTGAAGTAAACTTGGGTAAAGACTCGCCTTACAAAACAATCCATTTAACCTACAGTGAGGAGGACTTTGACAGACTACTAAACCTGTGCACCTATAACATCCTCTGTAGCGAAGACCACATCCTTCAGGCCATCCAGCATGCTATACAGAAGAAGAAAAACATTTGTTCTCAGGCTAGAAAGAAATTCTGTCACCCTGAGCAGGGCACCAATTAGCCCCCAACACCTACATTGTTGGAGGTTATGCTAAGGCATAGTCATACCATACAGTTTGCAGTGAACACTAACAAGTGTAGTTCCCACCCTGCCTAGTTTGAACAGATGGCTTCTTTATTTATTAATATTCCTATTTTTTGAGCCATCCATGTTCAAGGTCACATACCTGGGTTGTAGCTTGTGAACAATGCGAGGAACATAGCAGGAAGAGCTTCAGGAGGTGATTCTGATGGGGCTGGACGACACTCAGTTAAAGTTACCAAGTCAGTAAGTAGCTGAGATTGTATTGCAAGGAGTGACATTGTTGATACGTTAATTTGAGAGGTCACAGGGATTTGTTTATAATACTTTCAATGGTGACCCTCTGCAACTCTAATGAAAATGAAGGAGATGTGTTGGACTTCAGTACCAATGGAAACTGTGAAGAGTGGAGCTTTCTTGCATCAATTCCACTATGAGCAATTACCGGTACATCATACCATACAGATATTCTTGCTGTTCCTTTGCTGATCACTATTGTTTCCCTTTCCTATTCTAAAGAGGGCTGATGCATTTCAGCTGTGAATAAAAACCACCATTGCTAAAATAATTTAGTATTATAACTTAATGAAACCCATTATAATTATTTGCAATATTGCCTTGTTTGCTTGCATTGCCTCCGTGTTTAGTCAGATCTGCTAGTTAAATTCAACAAACTCGGTCCACAACATGACGGCTTTTGCTTGTATTTGATCCTTTTAAACCTGAATCTATAGCTAAATTTGCCACAATAGAAGTGATTCAGAAGGGAGTTAAGTATCCTCTGCAAACACTTAATTGGAGATTTATTGAGGGTAAGGTTACCAGATTTTTTTCAATGAATCTGGGGACACTTTTCAACTTCAGTGGATTTTGTATGGGGACTGATGTGTAAATCCGGGGATGTCTGGTATCCTTACTCTAGGGCTGGGAATAGCACCTACCTGATACGCTCAGAAAATGGGCCTGAGACATGCTGTGGTCAGCATTCACAGTGTTAGGCTAGATAGATGAACTGATAATCTGACTCAATAAATAACTGTTGCTCTTTTGGTGCTTCGAGGCAGCTGATTCTACCAATGGTAGTATTTTTTTTAATAGATTGGCACTATAATATTGCTATTTGGACTGGCAGAGATCAGCAAAGCCTCTATATGAATTGTGATGTCAGGTGCCCTGATTCCACATGCCTGGTTCTTTGATGAGGCAACCTCTTACACACAAGCAGTGCACAGTTGGTGATTCTATCTTTGCATGCAAAACCTGCTGGGGGATGCAATGGCAAACAGTTATGTTGTATAATTAAAAAGGAAGCCTTCAACATGTTTGCTGTAAATTGAACATACCCTGTAAAAAGCTGGTTTCCATTGCTTATGAATGCTCTGGAAGATGTTACTATAAACCTGAGGGTAGGCATGTCAGAGCCTTAAATAGTGTCAGAAGAATTTTGTCTCCACAGAACATTAAGTATTAAAAACCAGATCTTCAGCTGGAGCAAATTATATCCACTCTTCAGAAATTATTTGGGGTAATATGATTTATGCTGTTTCAGAATCTGGTTCAAAAGTATTTGCATCTCTCATATAAAAGCAAGACCACCCAGAAATGGTATATTTTCATCATCTTGTCAAGAAATTTGAAATATAAAGAATAGGGACTTGAGAGACAAAGTATGACCAATTTTGTTCTAAAGCAGTCAAAGTTAAACATTTTTGGTGTGTTTTAAATAAAGCATTGCCACATTTAATAAAGGCAAAATGAATAGAAGTAGATGTAGTGTATTAGGAAGGAACTCAGGATTTTTTTATTTTTTGCTTTAAGAGTATCTCAGGAAGAACAAAAAATATATGCAGTTACTATGTGGTGACTGTAACTTCATAATAAAACAGTTGCAACAGTAAATCTTCGTGTGGGGTCAGTTTTATTTAAAGAGGTACGGTATATGAAAAAATGTTTTCCATTAGTTTAAACTAGAGAAACATCAGTATAAAATTTGGTCTCCATTCTATGTATTATCTAAAACCTAGTTCTCTCTGGAAAACAGTTTCTAAACATTAAAATGAAGGAACGCAAACAGTTTCATGCTTTTCTCTTACGATAGTGCATTTTTAATGCACAACCCATTGACGGAAACAGCCTAATGGGCCAGCCGTGGGGAGAGGCTCTTTGTAGTCGCAAAGACCCTTTCACATGTTTAATATGTGAAGGAGGCTCAAGTCATCCTTTCTAGCAGTACTTCCCTCTAAAAAAATAAGTATGCTGAGAGCAGCCAGCCTACAGTCACTTTTATGGCTTTTCAATCCATATGGTTTACAGTCTGAAATATATTGGTGCTGAATTATTGACAGTGGCACTGTTTTGTTGTTTTATCTACTTATTGAAGGCAATAGGGTGTAGTCAAAAGAACCCAGCACATCCACAGAACTGTAGCACTCTCTTCCATTTGCTGCTCTTATTTCTTGCTAAAAAGCTTTTTGAAGACATTCTTCTCCTTCTTTTTCTTCTGCTTTGTGACATCAATCTCTGGCTCTGTTCTCCCCAGGTTCTGCAGAGTGTCTAGGCTCTTGGTTACTTCAGTTTTTGGTTCAGCTTTGGCTCCTGAAAAACTAACCATTGTCAGCACCTGCCTAATCTCAGGAGGAAGCATATTTCACAACCAGGGTGCAACTGCAGAGATGGCCTTATTATATATTGCTGGGGAACTACCCTTTATTAGGCAATGGTGCAACCAAAAAGGCCTCCTAATGGAAAAGGGAAATTCTTCTACCTGAGATCTTAAAAATCTCGTGCTGGTCAGGATCCTTGTATTCTAACTGAGCCAATAGCCAGCTCCATGTTGCCTATAGAGACTGACAGTAGCTCTCCATGGTTTCAGACAAGGGATTTTTTTCTCAGCCTTACCTGACTATGCTAGGGACTGAACCTGGGCTCCTTTCATGCAAAAATACCACTGAGCTACTACCTTTCCCCATCACACTAAAAAGCTGTCATAATGCACTCCTGGAAGAATAACCACCCATCAATGTGACACCCTGTGCCAAATTCTATGTCTGATCTCCCTGGGTTACCACTACTCAAAGAGCAGAAGCAGAATTTATAATGGTAAAAAAACTAAGGGGCTATCAGGCCTTATACTACAGCATCTGCTAAATCAACTTGGCTCCTATTCTGGTGATTTAGGAGTGGTTGTTTTGGAATTGACACAGCATTTTACAGAGCTGCTTTACTGAATGCCTTGCAGGCTCAGTTGGCGGGTGATTTGTCGGTGTTTGACATACATCCCCAATGTAGGAATTTAAGTTTTGGGGAAAGGCCAAATATGTAATGAGAACAAGGAGGAATTTCACACAGAGGCGTGTAATTTGAGCAGATTCCTCAGTTCATTATTCCAACCCCCTAAGAATTTGATATATTTCCTAGCCAACCCTGTTTTTCCACTTGATTCCTCCTAATTTATAATCTCACATTTTAACCAACATTTCCCATGGACTATATCATTTTCTGAGTTGATACATTCCACACCTCCTCAGGGATAAAACAGAGATGGAGAGTGGATGTGTGTTTAAATGTACAAGTGGTGTTAAATTGAAATTAACATATGCAGAATATGAGTGGAGGGGTCTTCAAGCTGTTGTTTATGAATTGTATAATTGTATCTCAAGTTACCCAGAAAATTGCCCCTTTCTGCCTAACTGCAGTTAAACTTTACCTTGGACTCCTTGATCCAGAGTTCCTTTCTTTCCTCCATTAGGGTAAGGCTGTGCTTTATGATAGCTTTGAGGGTGCTCTGATAGACTGGACATCAACAGTGTTACTGGATCAGACTCCACGGAGTGCACAGAAGAAGCATCTGAAATGAGTTATTAGCACATCTTTAATGGTCCTGTGGGACGTGGGTGGTGCCGTGGTCTAAACCACTGAGCCTAGGGCTTGCCGATCGGAAGGTCAGTGGTTCAAATCCCTGCGACGGGATGAGCTCCCGTTGCTCGGTCCCAGCTCCTGCCAACCTAGGAGTTCGAAAGCACGCCCTAAAGTGCAAGTAGATAAATAGGTACCGCTCCGGCAGGAAGGTAAACGGTGTTTCCGTGCACTGCTTTGGTTTCGCCAGAAGCGGCTTAGTCATGCTGGCCACATGACGTGGAAAAACTGTGGGCAAATGTCGGCTCCCTCGGCCAGTAAAGTGAGATAAGCGCCGCAACCCCAGAGTCGTTCGTGACTGGACTTAACTGTCAGGGATCCTTTACCTTTAATGGTCCTGTGGCTGAGTAAAGCTACCATCAAAACTCTAGAAATATTTATGGATCACTATTGATTTATTCAAGTCACAACAGAAAAAATCTGTTGACTTGGGACTGCTGGAAGGTTATCAAGCCTCTAGCACAGAGCTTTCCAAAATGTTGATGACACACTTTTTAGACATGCATCATTTCACAAGACAGTAACTCAGTTTTACTAGCAAACCAGAGGTTAAACTAACCCTTTTCCAGTCCCGCAAGGAGCACGGGGAGCGTTCATGCAATACATTTATACACTGCAGATGACTCACGAATGTTGCGACACACAGTTTGGAAAGGTCTGCTCTAGCAGGCTACAGTATGCGTCTGATGAGCTCTGTTCACCAAAGTGGGTTATAAATTGGGGAGGCCTGACCTAGATAAAGTACAGTTCTCATCTCCTAATTGAATGAATCATTTATCCCACACCTCTATTACTCTCCACCACCTTCAATGTTTTCATAATGAAAGAAGATATGAGAACTGATAATGACCGCTCCCCTTTTAAAACGGGGGGCGCCCTTTGCGTGGACGCGCGCAGCCCCTAGATCTGGATCAGCTCCAACAGCATAGGCTTGGCTTTGCCTTCCCTCAGGTGGGATACCTGGAGGTCTCCGCCTACCTCGGTCAGTTGTCCAATCCCACCTGGGGGAAGCGTTGCCAAGGAGACCAGGCCAGGTAGGGGAGGGATTACCTGCCCACACAATAGAGGGAGGATCTTACCTGGGAATCCTCACTTGGCTCCAGAGCTTCTCCCACCCCACCCACCCTCAGTTAATGGCTTATTTTGCAGGTTAACTTTTCTTCACAGGTTTTGCAGGTTAATTTTTCTTCACAGGTATGCGGGCGCTGCTACGTTAAGGTCGCTGTTAAAGGGCCGGAAAGGAATTTCCCTGCATTGGCAGGTTTCGCCTTTCCCGTAGCAAAACGTCACAACTCTGGCGGTATCAGGCCTTGGGCGGAATCCTTTAGTCCATCTTCCTCTTTGCGGCGGCGATACCAGGGTTCCCCGTTGTCAGGGGTTCAGGGACAGAGGCACAGGTGAGGGAGGAGACGGAGAGCGATGGGGACGGATCCCAGGGCAGTGAGGAAGAGGATGACAATGACTCGAGGGATTCCATGAGTCTTTCGAGTGAATCGGAGGATTCCCAGAAGGGGGCGCTGGTGGTCAGGCCAAGGGGAGTCACAGGGGGGACTCGTCAGGAGCAGGGGGCCAGCAGGGGATCTCAAAGTGGGAGCTGGGAGTCAGGACCGGCTTCCTCGCCAGAGCGCAGTGAAGGGGGTGGAGATTCCAGTGTGACAGGAGAGGCAGCTCCGACAGCAGAGAAGGGGGGAAGGTCGGAGCAGGACAACCTCCCGGAAGGGGAGGGGAGTAGTACAGGGAGCAGTGTAACTGTCAAGAGGAAGGTTAGAGGTTGCGAACGCGCGCCAAGTTCAAATGTGGAGGTGCGCGGAAGCACAGGGAGCTCGGAGGAGGAGCCAGGTGCCAAAGCACGCACGAGGGGGCAAGAGCCGTCTGGGGATTCAGCGTCAGGGGAATCAAGGAGGGGCGAAACCCCAGGGGGCAGAAAGACCCTGCGGAAAAGGAAAGAAAGGAAGAGGTGGAGCAGCACAGCCCTCTTAAATTGGTGCAGAGGAGGGACTGACTCAGAGGGGACTTCAGCGGTCTAAGCGTAACAGACGTGGGGCTGCGCGCCTCCGCTGTGGAGCGTACAATGAACTTCAATAAACATTTTTATATTTAAACTGGACTTGGCGTTGGTCTCTTGTGAGCTGGGACCTGAGGCAGCCCTGACACCCGTTAAAGGGGTTTCTGAAGGGAGGCTTTGACCGTACGCCGAAAGGTCGTCATTGCTCTCCCCTGTGGCGGCGGCGTAACGGGGGCGGCGATCTCTGCTTGAACATATATTTTCCAGAGCCGGCCCATCCACCCCCCACACTGGATAACCCTGATGCTCCCTAGGTCCCCGGCTGGGGACTGGGGAGGGAGAACGCCCAATGCCTGAGCCAAGGTCTACCCACATTTGAAATTTAATAAAGTTGTGGCCAATTTAATCCCATAGCACGTTGTCTTGAGTCGTTATTCCACATGACGGGGGGGGGGGAACGACCGCTCGGGATCTAGGGACTCCGCCTGTCCACGCAATAGATTAATAATAATGCTTTTTATTCTGTTTATGGAAGCCAGAGGAGGTCTGTATCAAATTTACGTATGTACCATGAAGAAAGCAATTAATCTCTGCACTTGACTGGTAAGAATTTTGCATATTGCTATGGTCAATGGCCAAAATATCATCAAAATATTAGATTAGTAAACTGGATTATACTATATGGCAGAAGAATATGGCGTATTTCTATATGTTAGCTGCCCTGAGTTCCTGTCAGGGAAAAATATATAAACAAACAAACAAACAAACAAACAAACAAACAAACAAACAAACAAACATACAACAACAACAACATTACGCAGCATGTTTTCATTTCTATATTATGTAGTTTTCCCCTCTTTGGTGTATTTT